CTGTAGTCCACGAAAGCTTATGCTCTAATAAATTTGTTAGTCTCTAAGGTGCCACAAGTACTCCTGTTCTTCTTTCTAACCCTGCTGTCTCCCCAGAGCTGGGTGCATCTGCCCTTTACTCCCAACAGCAGCAGGCTGGGCGCGAACCTCTTCCTGTGCGAGCTGGGGTGAGGGAGAGTCTGAGCCCCCTTCCCCTGCACAGGGAGCAATGTGCATCCAGTCACTGCTCCAGCTAATGGCTGCGAGGAAGCCCAGCGGGCAGAGGCTCCGTGGCGCCCCCTGTGGTGCCCTAGAGTCACAGCCCCCTCCCTACAGTGGTTGGGCCCAGCTCACTGGTAGGCCAGGGAAGCCCCTTCCACTGTTCAGAGATGGGCATTGGCCTGGCTTAGCACTTTGCCCTGCCTAGACGTGAGTTCAGTTCCTCAGCCCGGCCTTACGCTCTCCTGGCTGGAAAGGCTGTGGGAACAGCTTATTCCTCCTGTGGCCTGGAAGGCAGGAAATGGCTTGTGCTGCTCCTAACTGCCTTGTCCCCTGACTAGGGCAGCAGCAGTCACCAAAGGGAGTCCCACATGGCCCTTCTGAGCATGGACCTGGCCTCACATGGCCTAGGACCAGCTATCCTGGAGGGGAAGTGAGGGCAGGGGACTGGGGCTGGCCCTGGATGAGGAAGGACCGTCCGTCTGGGGATATAGAGCTATTGGCTAGCAGAGCCATGTGTGGGAGGCCTGGTTCTCCTCTCACCCCGGTGTCAGCCAGTTCACTGCAGCGGGGGTACTGGCTGGTGGCATGTGGGAGGGGAGGGTGAGGCGAGGGGCTGTGCGGTGCCCTGGAATCCTTCAGTGATGAATTCAGCATAAATGTGCCCCTTGGCTCTGCCCAGCCTGTGTCTCTCTGGCTGGTCCTCCCTTTCCACAGGACATGGAGCAGTGCCAGGTGAGTGGGTATGCTGGATACGCCTAGTGCTCCCCCCCCCACTGCTCACAGTTACTCTGGGCCCCCAAAGGGCCTCACGCCCCCAGCCTGGCAGATGGCAGCGGGTTAGGGATCTGGGCAGTGTGGCTTAGACTGAAAATTAACCTGCTTTGGAACTGGTCCTGGATTGGAGCCCCTGTAACCCAGCCTGGCTCTCTGTCCCCATCTAATGGCTGGGCCACAAGAGGCTAATGAATCTTTTTTAGGGGACTCGAGGCCTGATCCCTTCCAGTCATAGAAGTGTAGGAGTGGCAGGGCCAATGAAGGCAATGGGAGTCTTTTCATTAACTCCCATGGGCTTTGGGCTCAGGTCCTCAGTCCTGTAGAGGCTCATGCTTTGAGGTGAGGTGTCCTGAGGGAAAGCCCTGTTGATACCCCACCCAGGGGGTCATTATCGGCAAGAATCATGCTGCCTGACACCTGGCCAGCTCAGCACCAGTCCAATATACTTGTTGACACACACACCCCCGGCCCCACCCCCACATCTCAAGGAGCATCTCTGTGAAGTGGTCTAGCGTGCCCAGGTCTGTGGGCTAAGGCAGCTTAGGACAGGGCTATGACTTATCTACAGGGGGCTGGGGAAGGACATGGTCAGCTTTGCTCAGTACTGGTGGGAGGCTCAAGGGCAGCAGAATGTGGAGGCAGCCCAGCCCCATGCTGTCTGCCAGCGCTAGTGAGCCCCTTTGATGAGGAGGCTGTGGATGAAGGAGTTTCCAGTTCATCCAAGCGAGAGCAGGGCATGTGGAAGAATCAGCTGCCAGCCAATGCGGGGGAAGTCCTGCCCCTTGCAGATAAGGTGCAAGAGGCTTTAATTAACCAGGTTGAATTAGTTCTGTCTCTCCCAGGCTCTGCGTTAGCAATCAGTGTGGGGGCAGGCAGCGCTCAAAGCGTAGCAGGATTGCTACTGTAACCAGGCTTTGCCCTTCGCGTGCACCAAGGGTCCAAAAGCACCTTCCAAACCTGGCTAGCTTCAGCCTCTCTACTCCTCAGGAAAGTATCCTCATCCCCTGGGGAGGCAAACAGAGGGGAGAGGCTCACAGCATCAGTGACTAGCCCAAGGTGTGCAGGCTACAAGGCCAGTGCCTGAGGCAGGAAACCACCCCTTCCTGACACACACACACACAGCGTGTGTGTGCCTGTGTTAGAGTGGGGGCTGGGGTCAGAACTGCTGGGATCCATCTGTCACTGAGTTGGGTGAGCCCATTCCCTGCACCTCAGTTTCCTCTGTAAAATGCAATGTTGCATCCTCCGCGGGGGCTGTGATGGTTAGAAAAGCAGCTGAATGGTGCTTGCTACTGTAAGTGTTCAGCACTCCTTCAGAGGGTGCCCTTGCGCTACCCCGCTGTATTGCTGGGATCCCTGGAGGCGAAGATTTAGAGGCTGAGTGTAGTGAGAGGGAAGCTGAGATGCAGCTTCATGTGGGAGCAGGAGCTGGAGGTTGTGATTAAAACAAAGGGACTATGCTCCCTTTGAATGGGGTTACCTGTGGGGGACGGGAGGGGGGGAGAGTTCTCATTCCTTGAGCCTGCCTGTCTGCACTCAGAGCCCCAGCTGCTCTGCTCACTGACCAAAGCCAGCTCCTCCACCTGCCAGCCGTAGTACAGAGCCGCTCTAGCCGTGCCTTGCCCTGTGCATCACCAGGGCCCTGCGCAGTTCACCTCAGAGCCAGGCCTCAGGATGATGCAAGAAGCAGAAAGAAGCCAGCTGCCTCTCTGGTCCCAGGCCCAGCTCACGGGATGGGGAGTTTGACCTAGGAACTGGGGACGTGTGAGGAACGAATAGACCGGGGCAGCGGCAAAAATGGCCCCTCAAAGACTGTCATTGTACTTTAAACATGCTGAGCCCCATCTGCCCCCTCCAGAGAAACAGGGAGTGGCTAGAAACTGGAGCAGCCCACTTATCTGAGAGTGAGAGGGAGCTGGGGGGCGAAGGATATATGGGGCTGTGGAGGGGGAGAAAGAAGTGGTCCTGCCACTTGAGCTACAGGAGAGTGCTCTTCAGTTAGTAGTAGTAGGGGAACTGTGCCACAGAGCTCAGCAGTTCTGCTTCCATGCACTAGAGGGCAGTGAGACCCCCTCCCAGTCCGTTAGAGGCAGCTGTGGCTGGGTGGGAGGGGAAAGTTCGTCCCCTTGACCCACTGCCTGGTGATGGAGGGTTTATGTGGTATCCAGAGTAACCCTTAGATGCTAGTCTCCGTGGTTAATTGTGGAAGGTGCTCAGATACCAAGGTGATGGGCACAGCACAGAATAGTGGTGGGGAGCCCCAGGATGAGGGATGTGAGCTGTACAAGGGGGGAGCCTCCAGCCAGGGAGGTGAATGCGATGCCAGTGTGGGACTTGTCCTTGGTGCGCAGTGTTCTCTAATGAAGAGCTAAATTCGACTTCGCTGCCCGAAGGCAGAGTGCAGCAACATGCTAAAAGAAGCGCGATGCTGGATATTAACAACGCTGGAATCCCCAGGCAGGCTGGCTGCGAGGCTGCACCGTGGAAATGCCCAGATGGGAGGGGGGCAGAGGGAGCCTGAGTTTGCTGAGATCGCAGAGGAGAGATTTATCCCAGAGAACCCCAGGGCCTCGTCCCACCCGGATCAGAGGGGTCGGAGTGATGGGGACAACCCTGTCTTCAAGGGGTGAGTCCGCATGGCCCATCGGGTCCCTCTAGCAGGGCAGAGGAAGGGACGCAAGACAAGGCAGCCCTGACCAGCAAGCAGACCAGCTCCTTGGCTCACTATTGCCGCGGTAGCTGAATTGCATCAGAGCCAGCAATGCCTGAAATCACAAGTACAAATGCATGTCCTCAGGCCTGGCCCAATGGCAGGACCTCCTCTGGCAGCTTTGTCCCACAGCCACAGTGGGATCAGCCAGGAGGAGCCCAGCACCAAAGGAACTCGCAGCCTGGCTTTCCCTCCACTGCTCCAAGTGAAGCCCTCCATCAGGGTTGGGCGCTAGCAGGCATGTGCCTTGGCTTGCCCCCTCTCTTGCAGGGGTGGAGCAGAGCTGGCATCTTGCCTCCAGTTGCGCACCCTATGGAACGCGTTGGTACAGCTGGGAAGTGGATGAATATTCACAGCACCAGGCTCTGAGGATTCCACAGCTTATTAACCTGCCTCCTTGCTGCCAGCATCCCCTATCTCCGTCACGGAGCTCAATGGCAGGTATTGAGGGGTGAAGTTATTGAGGGGTCTCAGGGAGGAGGATCACACTGGGGAAGGAAGCTTCAAAGAGCCAGGAGCTCAAACTCATGCAGCCATCGCAATGAAACTACATCTCAAATACCTGTCCACCCCACTCCCATGGACGTGGCTCACCCATGCAACAGCTACCCTGCACCTCCTATGCCCACAGCTGTGCACATCCACAGGCCAGGCCAGAGCTTACAGTTCACTTGAAACACTAGTAGGGAGAGCAATTTGTTTCTGGCCCAGGAGACAGGTGGAGAGACAGATATTGGCTTAGTGCAGTGGTACCATCCTGGATGCAGGTGGGCAGTGGATGCTGTGCCCAGGTACTATCCTGGTCAGAGAGGGGCAGGGGGTGCTGTGCCTAGGTACCACCCTGGTTATAGGGGGCAGGGGGCACTGTGCCCAGGTACCACCCCAGATGCAAGGGGCACTGTGCCCAGGTACCACCCCAGATGCAGGAGGCACTGTGCTCGGGTACTACCATGGATGAAGGGGTCAGGGGGCGCTGTGCCCGGGCCGAGTACCGCCCTGGAGGCAGGGAGGCGGGGGGCGCTGTGCCAGGTACCGCCCTGGAGGCAGGGAGGCGGGGGGCGCTTTGCCCGGGCCGGGTACTGCCCTGGACGCGGGGGGAGCTGCCCAGAGCATCCCGGTGACCACCCGGCGTTTGCTGCGTCCCAGCAGCGCACCCCGCCCCGTGCGCACCCCGGCGGCCGGGCTGCAGGTGTCTCGCCAGCGCCAGAGGCTGCAGCGTCGCTCCCGGCTCCGGTGGGCTCGGCGCTCCGCGGCTGCCCCGCCTCCCCCCACTGGGCTGCCATTGGCTCCCGGCCCCACGTCTCCCCCAGCCCCTCTCGCTGGCACCCGCCCCCGGAGCCCGGCTGTGCGGAGTGGAGCGGCGCTCGCTCTCCGATCGCTCCGCAGCAGCGCGGGGCTGGCTGGCTGACTCGGCGGCTGCAGCCCGGCACCCCTCCCTGCCATCGCTCCCGGCGCCCTGGGAGGCGAGCAGCAAACCCGCCCCCCGCCGCCTCCTGCCGATGAGCCCCGCAGCCGGCCGCCCCTGCAGCCAGCCAGCCCCGGCGGGTATATGGATAGGAGCTCCTTGCTGCAGCTCATCCAGGAGCAGGTGAGTGCTGGTTTCCAAGGCAGCGGCTGCTGCGCCTCTCCCGCCCGGATCGGGGGGTTCCAGCGCAGCTGTGGCATGCAGCCTGGGGAGGGGGGTAACTTTCCATGGGGGGTGGGGATGGAACAGGGGCTCTCCGCAGGCTGCCACCCCGGCTCTGTGCCCATCCCCTTGGTATCTCCCTGGTGGGTTCTCCACACGCCCTGTCGTTAGCTCGTGGCTTGGCACCAGCCGTTCCATGGCATCGCGCAGACCAGGCCACGTGCACCTCTGGGTCTGTCTCCCCCTCATGGTGGCATCTAGGTGGGGAGCCCTGGTGTCCCCAGCCAGCACCGTCTCTGTCACGCCTCTGAAATAGAGCGGATGCGCTCGTGAGCGTGGAGGTGGTGCCTGCTGGCACCGAGGGGGCGGCTTACACTAGTGAGAGCCAAACATCCCCCCACACAGCTCCGTCAGAGGCACTTTGAAGCTGGCCTGCCGTGACCCTGCTATTCCAGCTCCGGGGGCACCTCCGGAACCACCGGCTGCCAAGGGTGTTGGATCGGGGCACCTGCTCGAACAGTGGAGGGACAAATATACGCTGTAGCCAGCAGCCTCAGAGGCCATGCAGCTCCTTTCCCTTCTGAACCTCCTCATTCATCCCAGCCCAGAGCTCTCTAGCTCAGCGCTGCGAGGCTGAGGACCTGCTCCCGTGAGGTGCTGGGGAGCAGCAGCAGCTGCCCTCAGACTGGGCAAAGAGTGGGTGAGGGGTGGCCAGCATCTGGAAACACTGGGCCCTAATTCATTAACACATGATGGCACTGAGCCCTGTGATCTGACCGCAGATCGGGCCCTAGTGCATTAACACATGGTGGCACTGAGCCCTGTGATCTGACTGCAGATCGGGCCCTAGTGCATTAACACATGGTGCACTGAGCCCTGTGATCTGACCACAGATCGGGCCCTAGTGCATTAACACATGGTGCACTGAGCCCTGTGATCTGACCGCAGATCGGGCCCTAGTGCATTAACACATGGTGGCACTGAGCCCTGTGATCTGACCGCAGGATCAGGCCCTAGTGCATTAACACATAGTGGCAGCAAGCCCTGTGATCTGACCGCAGGATCGGGCCCTAATGCGTTAACACTGTGTTGCATTGGGCCCTCTGCTCTGACTGCAGGATTGGCTCCTAATGCATTAACCCTTGGTGGCACTGAGTGCTCTGTTCTGACTGATTCCTGGCTGGAACCCCTTCATCTGCTCTGGCAGCCAAATTCAGTCTCTTTAGCCAGGCCCCCGCGCCGCCAGGGATTCTGATGTGGGGGAGCTTGGTCGTTAATTTTGGTTAGGAATTTAGACTCCAAGTTCCTGTTTCAATAATTATCCCTCTGACTCACTGCATGACCTTGGGCAAGTCCCACAACCTCATTGGAGGGGGGAGCTGGGTTACCAGGCATCTCACTGGCAATTGGATGTGGGATCTGAGCTGAGCCTCCAGGAGTTGAGTGGTACAAATGTGTCTAAACATCTCTGTAAGGAAAGGGTTGCCATGAGGGAGAGAGCCTGTTACATTCCTGGGGGCACTCAGCCTAGAGCAGTGGTTCTCAACCCGCAGCCCGTGGGCAACTTGTGGCCCAATCAGCACATAGCTGTAGCCCAGGTGACCTCAGGGCCATCCAGGTAGTATATATATTGTGTGGATGCGGCCCACACAACACATAGAGAGCTGCATATGCAGCCCACAATGGTAAATAGGCTGAGAACCACTGGCCTAGATGATCGGCCAAAGGTTAGAGAGCATCTTAGGGGAGGACATTGGCTTCAGATCCTGCCACCTCCATGTCCAACATTTCTCAGCAGCTAGAGGTTGAATAAACTTCCCAGCCCTAGTGCCCTGTGGGAGTTGTGGTGCTGCAGCCTTAGGCGCAGGGGGCATGAGCATCGGTGGTGACAGTTTGATCTGGGAGGGTGCAGGCCACAGGTGCTGGAATGTGGCTGGAGATGGGGTCTCTGCAAGCCACTGAGGGGGGAATGATTTTGCTGCTGCTGCTGCTTTGGTCTGTTATGGGCTGGCCAATTTGCACTGAAATGCACGAGGAAAGAGAGAATCTGGGTAAGTGTGTGTTTGCGTGTGTGTATGTACTTGTGCATACATGGTATGCGTGCATCTCCGTGTGTAGTGTGCAAGCATGGAGCAAGTGTGCATGCTCATATGTGGGTATGTGTGTTGTTCTAAGTGTGCACTGTGTGTATGATATGCCTAGGTGCGTATTCGGGTGGGTGGGTGTTCTTTCACATGGGGTATGTGCCTGTGTGGACTATGTGCCTGAATGTGTGTGTGTGAGGGTGCAGGCATTCATAGTTATTGTGTGTATCATGTGTGTACAGGTGTACATATGTGTGAGGTACATGTGCAGGTGTATATTGTGCATCTTCATGTGTACATATGGGTGGGCATGCCTGTACACGAGATGTGGAGGTATGGTCTGTGTGCATCTTTGTGTGTACGTGTATGGGCATGTGTGTACACAAGATGTGGAGGTATAGTACGTGTGCATCGCTGTATGTACGTGTGTGGGCATGTGTGTACACGAGATGTGGAGGTATAGTACGTGTGCATTTCCGTGTGTACGTGTACCTATGCAAAACAAGTGTGTGATCCTAAGTGTGGACATAGTGTGTATATCTGCATGTAGATGGGTGTGCATTCACATGGGGCGTGCATGCATGTGCTTGCATCTGGCATGTGCAGTGTGTATGTGTGCATGCAGACGGGTGTTTTGTGTGCTTGGGTCTGCATTTGTGTGTGGTGTGCATGGGCGAGGGCATGTGGGTTTGCTGAGTGGTGCTAGGGGGCAGTGATGGCAATGGAATTGGCCACAGGAAGAGCAAGTGAATAGCTATTGAATCTAGTGAGCTAAATGGAGGCCCTGCTGTCATACCCAGGGAGAGGGGACAAGTGGCTGCCAGGGGGAAGTGGGTCATTAACTAGAGGGCAAACTCAGTGGAATGTACCCTAGGGATTATTATTCCTGGTATATGTATTACAGTCATACCTAGAGGCCACAAGTGTGATCGGAGGCCCTGTGCGCTAGGTGCTATACATACAATAGTAAGAGACAGGTGCTAGAGCTTACAACCTAGAAAGCCAAAGAAGGGGAGGGACAGGGAGGCACTGAGTGGTGAAGTGACATGGGCAGGGCCACCCAGCCAGTCTGTGGCTGAGCTGGGAATAGAGCCCAAGTTTCCTGAGTCACAGTCCAGCACCATAACTATTTATCCACTAGCTGACGCTTGGATGTGGCTGCTTATGCTGGGGGGTTGCCTACCTGAGATGCTGTTCGATGAACATGGGTGTCACGGCTTCCTTGCTAGGCCCAGTGTGCAGTGAACTGGGGGCTCCAAGGAGAAAGTAAAAGTGGAATTGGCACCCGACTTGGGGTTTATTGTGGGGGAAGGGGGAGAGACCAATCTCCTACACTGCCTGCACACCGCCCCTGCTTCCTGGAACACTGCCCCACCCCTCCTACAGCAGAGCCGTCCTAGGCACACCAGGCTCTGGAACTGTAGCCCAACGCACATGGCCAGCCACATGAAGGATCAGGCGCAAGTGCTGTGGAGAGGCAGTAACCCCTAGAATAGTGGTTCTCAAACTTTTTTTTTCCACGGACCACTTGAAAATTGCTGAGGGTCTCGGTGGACCACTTAATGATCTTTCCAAATGTTGTTTGTACCATCAGCTAACTACTGTAAAGTGCTTTGGCTAAAAGTGCTATATAAAAAAACTTAATAATAATTAACATATTTTGTTCTACAAATAAAAGCACACAACTCATATTTTTATATCCGTAATCTTACCTTTCTAATGCGATGGATGTGCCCTCTCTCCCCCGCCGCGGCAGCCCCCGAGCTGGGGCTGGGAAGGAGGGGGGGGGTCTCTGCTTCTCTCTCCAACTGTGGCAGCCGCAGCCCTGGAGCTGGGGAAAGTCGCCTCTTTCTCTGGCCGCTGCAGTCCTGCACGTCCCAAATTCCCCCCACCCCCTCTTCTCACCCCACTGCCCCCTCCCACCTACCCCCTATTCCCCCCAAGGCCACCACCTCACTTTACATGTGTGTCTTTTCCAAGGTCCAGGCACCTAATTAGTGAAGCCGAGCCTGCGTGGCTCCACGAATTAGGTGGTGGCCCTTCGTTCTGTCGTGTGCAGTCGTCCAGGCATGCAGCTTAGAGGGAACTATCCGCGGACCACCTGAATGGAGCTCGCGGACCACAGTTTGAGAACCTCTGCCCTAGAGAGCTCTGCTTATAACTTGCTTTCCTTGTCTAGAGCAAGGTCTAGGTGCTGTGATCTACACAGCCTCCAAAGGGTTAATTTGGCCATATGCTGCATCTCCCCTCCTTGTAATCCCCCTTCTGATGCTCTTGTGGGGGGCCAGCCCCACTCTCCCAAAGGAAGACGTGCCCTTCCCCTACCCTGGATTGGGCCCTCTCTGTGGCTGCTGCGCCCTCCGGGCTGAGATGCGAAGTCTCCACTAGATCTGTCAGTAGCCCTAGGGAGCAGTAGATTCTTTGGGATGGAGAGGCTACAGTCTCCCTCAGCTCAAACCAGAATAGCGCGTGTGTCCGTGTCCCACAGCGTTCTCCGTCCTGCCCATTCCACAAGGACATTGCCAGGGAGCTCTGTGTTTTGCATTTCGTTCCCTGGAGAATAAGATGACAGAGACAATATTATTTGCAGAATAATTCTGTTTTACTGGCTTTGCCTCCCAGGGGCAGAACCCAGTCTCTGTCATGCCCTCGGCAGGGACTTAAACACACTGACTTTTCTTCTTGTCCTTCCAAAATGGTTTTTTAAGACTAGCCCTTCCCCCACATTATTCAAAGTGCTTTTCAAGGAGGAAATTGGATACAAACCTTCCTGGTAAATCCAGCATGACTGTGGCTTTGTTCTGGGTGAGTGTGAGGACGTGACACTTTTGGAAGAGCTAAACGTGGTGCTATGGGAATTCGATAGGGGTCTGTTCACCTGAGCCGGTGTGAGTCTGGCTCCCCGTTTGGAACTGGCTCAGCATAAACTCCACGAGAACGCGCGAGGTGTTTACAATGTTCATGACTGCTGTCTTGAGCTGAGCGGGCTCCATGCTTGCCGTGGTATGGAGTCTGCAGTGTTCACCCAGGAAAAAAGGCGCGAAATGGTTGTCTGCCGTTCATTGCTTTCATGCAGGGAGGGAGGGAGTGAGGGAGGAGGTGAGGCTGTACCCAGAACCACCTGCGTCGATGTTTTTTGTCCCATCAGGCACTGGGATCTCAACCCAGAATTCCAATGGTCGCCGGAGACTGCGTTAGCT